GAATAGTTGCAGCTGCGCAAAGCTGAAATATACAATAAAAGAGCTCTGTCATTATCGCCTGTCGGCATCAGACATCATTGGAAAATTACAAACGCGTATTCATTTCTCCAGACTTAATATTTACGCATGAACAAGTCAGTCTGATGTTATAACGATAGAACATCAAGGCGCGCGAGGATAAGACTGGAATGCGCTGGAATTCGAGCTGCATGCTTGCTGTAATATTGCTGTAATATTTGCTGGAATATTGAAGTGTTCCACCTTAAGTGTGGTCATAACGGTAAGAGCTGGCCAGGACGCAGTTTCACAGCAAATGTTGTACGTTCGTATAAGCCGCTGGGGTAGGCGACTAACACAGTGTGGTATATGAGCCATATGGCAGGCAGTATTACGCGCTGAGTGCGTTACAGGAAATGAGGCCGAAGTCATTTAGCCATAAAATGAAGCAGCGAATGAATATGGAAGGCCATAGCCAACGCCTTCATAATTTGTCTTGGACAAACGACTACACGCAATAAAGGTCAATGCTCTCATCCTCATCTCATTTTTTTTAATGTGTGAAGCTGTCCCTGAGATGAGGACGCTATTCGTTCTCATATACATGTTCTGCACATCTTTAAGCTTCTCATTAGTTTCGTTTGCATTAGTTTTCGAGAAATCTGAAATATGTTTTTTCATTCCCGACAAAACTAAACTCTCGCATGGTATTTGGAGTTTAGAGATAGATGAAAACTGAATAAGTTTACCTGGTATATACGGCGACTGATGCCTTTTTCCTGTGTTAACGGAACGAGCTAATTTCTTAGAATATAGAATTAGCAAAATGAAATAGTGAACGCGCCCACACTTGCTGTCCAAATATCTAATTCCTAAGTAATAATATTATGTGAGGTTTGACGTCGCTAAACCACCATATGATTATGAGAGACATCGTAGGGGAAGGCTACGGAAATTTTGACCACCTGGAATTGTTAACTTTCACCAAAATCTGAACGCATGGGCTTACAGAACTTTGGCTCCATCGAAAATGCAAACTATACAGCCGCAATTCTATCCCGCCACTTGCGGGTCAGCAGCCGACTACCTTAACCACCAGACCACCGCGGCGGGGCTTCAATTACTAAGTGCTGATACTGAAGCTGCTTCTTTAAAATATCACTGAAAATTCGTACTACGCTGATACAAAATTCAGCAATAGAGAAATATTTTGGTGGACTCCACATTTTTAAATGAAAATATTGCCTAGGTACTACGTATACTGTCGCAAAAATCGGCAAAAAGGTATCAGTCATACAACCTATAGCTAGCAAGTAGTTGCACTGCGCGAAGTTATAAAAAAGAAACATGCTGCGGTACCTACCGAGAAGTTTAACACCGTTGTCGTTACAACACGCGGAAACTTTCCTACTTGCGCGTTATAATGCGTAAACCATAAGCCATGGGGGCAGGTAAAGAACACTTCATAACCACAATGCTTAAACTCATTAAAACCTTGGAATTTGGTTTGTTTATGACATTTTTCTAAGTTACCAAGTCGGTTTTTGTTGTTGTGTAGTTACATCCAGGTTAGTGTGTGTACAGCGTATGCAGTCATGGTAATTATTTTCCAAGTTCAGCGATTTGACCGGAGATTGCGTTTTCTAGCGAACTTTTAAACCACTCAATCTGCCTTTGCAGATCCCTTAAGCTGGCATATTACCAAGGCTTCAAAATTATGCCACGTATTTTCGGAGGCCCCATGTGACTCTTTCGTTCTGACTAAAATTAAATGCGAGGGACGGAGAGGTTATGTTCAGTGGGTTTAAACTTCTTTTGGGTGTGTTAAAAAATGGGTGGGCTTGCTTGACATAGAAAGCGTAGCTCAGACAGGACCCACGCAAGTTTGTTTCTCATGTCAAGCAAGCAACACGGAATAACCATAAACAAATCACCTCATTAGGGGAGAAGAATGTGGTGTCGCGGGTGTTTTAGTATCAAGCATGTGGTTAACAAACTGGCCAGAATCTCCGGCAGTCATTTTAAACACGAACGTGGGTGCAGTACCTGCTGTTGCTAGGGCTTAAAAAGAAAGCAGTGTTGTTGCACATGTGCCTATTACACGGGGCAAACTTTTCCCAGGAGCCGTGCGTTTTGGCATTGCCATGCGTGCGCTTTCTTGAAAGAAACAAGAAGCGTGCGTCATAAACCACCTTTTGCTTTACATCCCTGTTATGTAGTTAGCTATTTCATGAAGTATGTCAAGTTTGTTGAGAGTTTCTTTTAGCTCAGAATATATGATGAATGTGGTGTTAAACTGGAGAGACGTTCGTTTTAAATGAGAACTTCAGAGACGTCATCGCATTGGCTTTACAGCAGCACAAATAATTTTCAAGGTGAATGAGATTTGCATTGAATCAGTATAGACTCATATTTCACCAGCACCGTTACAACAGCAAACAACCAAGCTAGCCAACTTGTGGTGAGTTTTCGCATTTATTTTAGCAATAATTTGCACCAATACTTACAAAAAAAAACACACCAATATTCCTCGTGACGGAATTGCACGCCATTGCAAGCGCATACCGTGCATTGGTGGGGGCGAGCTCATCGAATTTACGTTGCAAGGTCTTTGTAAACACCCATATGAACATCCACAAGGCAGCAGAAGCCACCATGCGTAAAGCGTTAGAGAATTCACAATTATCACGCTGCACTTTGCGAAAAAAGACCTCACATTACAAAGAGAAAAATAGAAATTATTTAAAGAAGAGATGGAGATGTTTTTCTGGCTTTTCGCTCTCAATGCTACTCCAGAGTCTGGGTGATAATTGCAATTTATACACCGATAGACACATAACGCACACGGTGATACGCGTAGAAACAACTATTTGTGAAGTTTCATTCAAGCTTGTGACCCGAAAAGAAACTCAGCAGCACTTTTGTGGTGCACAACACATTGCAGAGGCTTTGCAATAGACCCTTAACATGTGCCAGCTTCATGTTTGTGTCACGTTCGAGATTCAACATCGCCTTGAGAGACTGTTTCTTTGGTGTGTAGAGCGTGCATACTCAGATGACAAGATTGAGAATTTCTGGAATGTTACGTCAGACACACAATGGTGAGTGTGACAGTCCAGTCTTGTTCCTAATTAATTATGCGACGTTTATTCGGATGCTATGTAAGGATGTTTCCTCCTGCCTTTTGAGGTCTGGCAGCATACGGACGTGACACGGTGGATCGATCTTGTTCGGAGGCCCCTACTGGCGACTAGCGTCTTTCCAGAGGGATCGCTGGGGTCGGCAAGCAGGTGCCGATACGAGTGTCGCAGCGTCTTGAATTGAGAACGGTTTCTCAACAATTTCACAACGTAACATGTTTTATGTGCATTAGGGGTGCACTACAAGAGAGGCTTCGAAGGAGCAGAGGTCAATTAGGCTGAAAAATACCAGCATTGCCGCACGGTTCAGCAAGAACACGCAATACATAAGTGAGCTCCAGAACTGCAATGCTGCTGTTAATGTGGCGGGCCCCTGACCGTAATGACTGGCTGGATAGACACGTATGTACATAAAATACGAAATCAGTTTGAGGCAGGTTATCAAAGCTTAAATAATCAAATAACGCCAAGAACCAGTACTGCTCCATAAGGCTCCCATCGATGCTGGAGCTACTGGTTTAAGAACACGCTAAGCGTATACTAGGTGTTCCAGATAACTGGAAGTGAAGTTTCAAATATGACAACAAATTTTAGGACAAAGTGATAAAATGCATGTTGCTGGGTATATTTTTTGTTCGGCATAATTGCTGAGTTTGCAAGCCTGAATAACTAACACGTAAGATAACGAATGTATATAAATATTTAAATCAGATGACAGAACATTCAATTGGGTGACTTCTTACTTTATGTTTGTTAAGCATTACTATATTTATGCTCTCTGCAAATCACAAAAGATGAAACTTTTTCTACAGTGCAGCGACTTTCATGGCTCTCCTCCATACTGCGTACGTAATTTTTGTTTAGAAAAAGAAACCGTGGGCATTCACTCTTGTACTTCGGGGGAGGGATGGTCGCAAGACCTCCTTGGATGCTGACTAGGCCATATCTTCAATGAAGTGAAAGCTGTGCGAAATAGACATGTACAGATAGAAAGAACTAACAAAGAATCGTGACCTTGAGGTTATGGTATGACACTCCTAGTTTTCACTTGGAAAATATGCTTTGGCTGCTCCGTGTTCACTCTACGGCTGCGGTGCCATATTCGTACCTTTTGCGCGTGGTTATTCTCGGGGACAGCTTTGGTAACCCTCAACTGAAAAAAAAATGACACACGAGGTGTCTGATATTGTACACGACGGTTCATCGTGCTCAGGATTTTCACATTTTCAATTGAAGTTTTGTATAAGAGTGCGAAATTCGAAGTAGTCGCTGCACTATCATTCACGTAGGTTTATTACCTGTCCCATTTTTCAGCTCTTATCAGCAATAAATATAAACTCCCGCGTACTTGAAACGGTTGAATTCAATAGTAAGGCTGAGATTTCGATTTGCCTTAGAAATAGTTGCACGCTCAGGCATGCATTTTTTGGTGACCACTCACAAGCCGTTTTTTGATTACCGTTGTCTTTCGGCACTTCTTTATATCTTTCCGAAGTGTAAATCTTGAAACATTTGTTTGTGGTCTCGAACCTTTTTCAATTTGACGTGTTTCTCGATTTGAAAACTGAAAAATTTTGAATTGAAAATTGGATGTCTAAGAGCGTAGCCACCTGTGGACGTGCTGTATGTTCTCAAAATTATACCTGAAAAAGAAACAGCATAAAGCACAACAGTTGAAAGTTGCAGCTGTTTTGTTTGTCGTAACTGAAAGCTCCCGAATGTCTACGTAATTTTGGTCTGCTTGAGCAGACACTCTTTTGAAGGCGTCACGAGGAATAGGTTCGCAGAAATGGTCCGTAGCATACTTCCTATGTGTTCAAAACGATTCTTGAATAAAACGCGAACAGCTGCCTTTCCTTTTCCCTTATTAACGCGGACAAGGTGAAGTAGAACGAGCGAACACGTCGGTGATTATGTCTCCCTTACACAAGTGTCTGCTGATTACGACGGCTGTTCTTTGCACGAGATGTGAGATATGCAACGCCTACATGCAGCGGGCAGCCGTAGAAATCAAGAATGGTACGTGTGCGTTCTGTTGACTTAGGTAACACTAGTTGAATATATGCGAGATTTAACGTTCGAAAACTGCCATAAGAATATGAGAGACACCGTAGAGTAAGGCTCCGAAAATTTCTACCACCAAGGGTTCTTCAACGTGCGCCTAATTCTGAGCACATGGGCCTACAGCATTTTTGCCTCCATCGGAGGTGCCACTAGTACACCTAAAATAAAAAAGCTACCTCGGTGCGCTAACTTTTCATTGATTACGTGTTACTGACAGTAGAAGCTGTTGGTAAACCACAAGCAATATAGTTGAATGTGGAGTATAGCTTAAGTGGAACAGCCACTAACATAATGTGCACCCGGCTTCAATGTTACTTCTATTAGATTCTACATCCCCGGTTACACCGAATGTCATGATGTTTTCATTTCAGCGAACGAATCTCACCGGGCTGGTGCTTGAAATGTAGCTTAGTATCGCTCATTTTTTTTAAAACTCTTAACACATGGTGCTATATTGCTGCACTTACTATCAAGCGCGACTGAGAGCGAAGGTTGCCGTACGAAGAGGCTGTGATGGAGAGGCACATTTCATTGAATGTTGGCTTTCTAAGTAAATCATCATGTTGTAGACTATCACCTTACACGAGCCTGTTTCATGAACTGCCTCGTTTGCTTTGATGTTCTGTTGTTAAAAACGGGCATGACTTTATTTCAGTGTGACAGCAGAGGAGATGCATTTTTCAATTCTTACAACTTTCACATTATAATTTCGCAGAGCAGCAATAGTCAAGGTGGTGTGAATTGTGAATGCCTCTTCACACGATTAATTTTTATGCGCCAGCCGCATGGCACTATATTGAACCTTCAGCAGCCGATGTGAGTGACGTAATCAATAGCATAACAGAAAGCTTTCAGTGGGCTTTTTCTTCGCAGAAACAAAAAAAATAATTCAAAAAAAGTTTTTTGAACAACAAAAGCTAGCTAGAAATAAAATTTCTCCTTGGAAAATAGAAGTTTTATTCAGACCCAATCTAGAGCGTGTTCTTTCGTTTTGTTTCAGGTCATTGCACATTTCAGGGAAGAGCTATTCCTGTGAACCAGTCTATTAGCCTTAAAGATCCTTGTGAAGAATGGACATGTGATCACGAATCTAATTCTGTGTCTATAACTGGGTGAGTAATAAAAAGTATCATTGTCACTAGCAGAAACTGTCGCTTTTTTATTCCCCTTGAAGTGCTGAGCCATTATAATATTTAGTGTAAATCATTTTGCATAAACGCAGTCGCTACTATGCCCGTAAAAGCCTAGGTCTCTTTTGTTTTGTTTTGCTTTCAACATTTATTCTACCCACCAACTTCAGTTGCCTGAATGTTTTCCTGATAAATTTGATAAATAATATCTATCAACGTTTGGATAATTACTTCCAAGTATATTGTAAAATCTATTGCGAACGTCAGCTGTTCTAGTCAACGTAAATAGAACGACGTTGACTCGGCGGTCTTCTTTCAGCGTTCTGAACTAATACGGGAAATGTGTTTGAAGAAGATGTCAGCGCTGCGAAAAAATGCGAATCGGTGAATGAAATATTTATTGCAAAAAATAGCACAATGCAATTAGTGCAGGAGAGGAGTGGGAGGGTTGGTATGGCATGGTATGGTATGGTATGGTTTGGTTGGGTATGGCATAAAACGACTGTATGACAAGCATAAGTGACGAGTTTATAACATGAAAGACAAAACATGTCGGTCATGAATGTCATGATTTACATTTTATGGTTTTACTGCTTTTGCGATGGGTTTGTTCTCATGACATACTGCAAAACTGTCATGGTATGACATAGCTAAATGGTGAACATAAGTGGCAGACCCTAGCATGGAAAATAGCAAATGCAAGCTATTTAAGTATTGACTACACGCTACGCACATGGTGCGCTCACGGTCATTTCGCTAGCTTCACATATACCACATTTGGTATTACGTAACGTGAATGAACGAGGATAGTAAATGACACATCCAAACATGATAATTACGGAGAGCATCTACTAACTTACGCTTGCTCCCCCCTCTCCTCTATATTATAGGCATTATTCTCTGCGCCTACACACGAAGCCGATGCAGCCAGCAAGCGATCGTCTCGATTGAAACAAAGACAAAACCATCTGCTCGTGCTGCGCACACGATCACTGACCACTCCTTATTTATAGGCACTCGATCTTGACCTCCGAGTTAGCGCCGGTGGGAGACTTCTCCTGTTTTGATTTTGATTTTATCGCTTTTAACACACTACATCTCAAGTTAAGTTACTGTTAAAGTCAAAGTAGACTATATATAATATGGCAGTGGGGCAGCTACTCACGCAATATTCAGACATGACGCTTAAACATTGAATAACAAATTAAAAATAAAAAAGCAGGAGGTGAAACTGTATAGTATTTCACAAATATGGTCAGGTTATAACAGGCATAAAAACAAATTCATTGCATTAACTTTTTTTTCAAGCATCACAAGCCAAAGCTCGTTTGAGTTGCTGATCATGCTGTCAAAATATATATAGATCAACAAATAGTATTCGGTAGCATATTTCAAAACATACGTTGATGCAGAGGCATTTTGTGATGCATGTGCGTAGCCAGCATGAAGATAGGTAGCTCACCAATTTTTAGTTGGAGTAGATGAAGTGCATGTCGGAGATATCACCAGTGAGCAACAATGTAAGCCAGAAATACATCCCGCTAGAGAAAGAAATGCTGCCCGCGATCCCATAAATTAAAATAGTGGCCGCCAAAGATGACCGGGAAGACGCCTCGCAATAATTGAGGAGCTTGGCACCGGAGCGACGGCCTCAAATACCTGAAACTAGCGTAGTTACTGTTATGAAGTTACGTATTTGACGAATATAAATAAAAACGAGATTCACACTGAGAAATTCATACAATGACGAAGCCTAGAGTACAGGTGATATTGTGAGAATTGTGACGCAACAGTATATTCACGTATTCACAGCGCTTCAACCTGTTCGAGTGTTCCAGAATTAATCGCTTGAACAGGTCAAATGATGCCCCTCTACAACAAGTTAAAAGCAAATGCTTATTTTTTTTAATTTTTAGTGATGCCTTGTGGCTCTCTCATAGAAGTCAGAGCACATATTATAAAGCAACTGCTATCATTTCATCTATCTGGTGTGCCATGAGTGTCATAGATATAGAGCGTGTGTGGAATGTCACACCGGATTACTTTGAAAAAAAAGTTACACGGTTTTACATGAAGACCACCTAGCAAATACTGTTTTCAGTACACTGAAACAGCCAGCCAAGTTTTTTTCTAAAGTTTGATTACTTATTATAAACAGAAGTGGAACTCTACAAGCACTCACCTAAATAAAATATAATTAATGATACATTCATAGGCTTGTTAAATTGCATCTACTTGCTCAAATTGGTCGATGTACTTAAGGCACTGTGACATATCCTGTGTCGAGATAAATCGTCGGAAAGAAAAGAATGATTACCCCATATTCCCCTCCTCATACCGAGAAACACGCCGCTCAAGTCTTGCAGAATCGGCCGTAATCAGAACAGTGCTCGGGCCGCGTCTTCAATGAGTACAGCCGTTCGTGAGATGTGGATAACGGTGCTGCTCCACAGTTGGGTGGAAGGAATGACAAAACAACTGTGGCGTATGTAGTTGGCGCTCTTGCTGTACCCCTGCCAATGTCAGGAACGCTGTCCTTGGCAGCGGGCTACCACAAGAAGTGTTTTTTTTTTAAATCTTGTTGAGTCCGCTTCTTGCTGTTGTGATGGGAGCGTAGTGCCGCCTCATTTTTCACAGTTAATGCAGAGTTTTTTTATTAAAGACAGTGAAAAAAAATGGCACCGTATCTGCTTGTTTCACTGAAAATGTGTCTTCAGTATGGAGAGGGGGAATAAAACGTTTCTTTCATGTTCGGCACGAAAAAAAATTGTGAATGAGATTCTGGAAGTGCTGCGTAAGACATGAGCGCCGTCTGGCAGTAATAATAAACAAAGAAAGAATTACCTGCGTTATAGCAAGCGCGCGGCGTGCGAGCGCCATCCCGGAGGCCACAATTTGTAGAATCCAAGGCCGCGAATAGGTGGCAGCATCGTTTCGTCTTAGCAAAGCGTAGGAGATACCCACTTTTTCATGCGTAGTGTCGCATTAACCGCGCTGTGTAACAAATGATACGGTCCTTAGAATTACTTATGTATGAGTTTTCTAGTATAAAGATGCACACCACAGAATATTGACATGTTGATATTGTGCCTTAGATAAGTGTAGTATTTCATTTTTGTACGAGAATGCACACAAGTGCGGATGCAGAATGGAAATCATAATTGTTGGCCTTTGAGAAAGTATATAGTGGAACTTTAGCCTTGTAGCCGATTCCTTTTTGTTGACAGACAGGCAAGTCAAACTACAGACAGACAGACAGACAGACAGACAGACAGACGGACAGACAGACAGACAGACAGACAGACAGACCAATATTTTGCGTTGAAGTATCCCAAGAAAGACTGCCGTCTTTAAAAATGAACACGTAGTTGTACATTCTTGAAAGTAGCACTGAGTGATGTCATTTGAGCACACAAGCATACGCCCCATTTAAGTTGCGATTGCTTGATAAAAACTGGTAAACATAATTAGGACTAGTAAATTCAACCTCATTCACGAAATAAAATTAAAAAGCAACTTTGCACTAGTAGTGTCAAGCTTGATGAAAATGAAGATGTGGGCGTTTACACGATCTTTATTTTTGTCTTAATCTCCTCCTCTCTTTCTTTTGCTGTCATCTTTGGTAATTCAATGTCTTCTTTGTCGTTGCCAATTTATGCATTTCTTGCTTTCAGTCTTTGTAAATGCGGACTAGCAAGAATGATGCCATAAAAAGTAATTCTTACGCAAAAATCGAAGCAAAAAGGTGGACAATAACATGACTTACCTCTGAAAGGGACCGAACGTGCACCCTTCGAATAACGCATCTGGTGGTGTAGCGATCTCATAATCATATGGAGGTTTTGCGACGCTAAACCCCACATATCAATCAACATATCAATTGTGCTATAGCTGTCCCCACGCTTGTCTGTCAGGTGTGCTCATTATTATTCTGTTTAACTAACTATGCAAGTTCTTTAGAGCTTTTGTTAAGTGTACTGAGAAAATACAAATTACTTTCTATAAATACACGCATGCATATATATATATATATATATATATATATATTAAGGAAAGAAATGTACACATAAGGACTGTCTTTCCGTGTTTTTACACAATATTAATGACATCTAACAGACAATATTGCTAAAGAAAGTATAGGGGAAGATATAAACCAAATTGTATTGTAAACATGAACAAACGTTTGTGAGAATATAACTTGCCATGGGCAGGATCCTTCCCACGGCAAGTGATCTTTTCACCCACTTTTCTTCATATTTACATTACAATTTGGTTTAATATCTTTCCCCATTCTTTCCTTGGCATTATTGTCTGTTAGATCTTATATATATATATATATATATATATATATATATATATATATATATATATATATATATATATATATATATATATATATATATATATATTGTAACGGGGTTTATTTGCAGAGCAGAACACAGAAGGCGAAGCAGTCAGCAGCGTCCGGCCAAGCGCAGCAAGCACGAGCTTTTGCTAATGACGATGCCCCTGAGGCACCGAGAAATGCCGCTGAGGCCCCTGTTCTTCACTACAATCGCACTCCGCAGAAAAAGGCGCCATCCTGGCGAGTTAGGGAGATGAAACCACTAATGGGTCATATTATGGCTTGAGGCGAGAGGCGTGGACAGTGTCGCGGCCACGGTAGCATAGGTATGTGGATGGGATTATGGGCTCCACAATATAGTTGACGAGTGACGTTCGCTCTACAACGCGGTATGGCCCGATGTATTTAGGAAGAAGTTTTGTGGAGCGGCCAGGTGCGGTAGAAGGTGCCCGAAGCCATACCAATGAACCAGGCAAAAAGTTTGGAGCCGAACGGTCCCCAGACTGGCGGGATCGCTGCTGCTACTGGTCCTCGGTAGAAAATGAGCGGGCAAGCTGGCGGCAATCTTCAGCATGTCGGGCAGCTTCGAACAGAATTGTACTTTTGGACTCATAAGGTTTATATGGAAGAATATTGT